ATAGTAAATTTTAAATTATATAATTTCAATCATTTGAGGACTATCAACAGTAGCAACAACTAAAATGGATAGCACATGCAACTCAAAGACAAAATAATGGCATAATCAATGTGTAGACATTCCTTACTACTTCAAATAAAAGGTTAGGAAGGAAATCTCCATCAATACTGGAAAAAATCGATAACAGTGACAGGGCTTGAGAAACGTTCTTTTCCTAAAAAGTGTTTTAAGAGAAAGATTTTATAAATTTCAACAGAAAGCAGTATTGGTTGCTCAGTCAGCTGTATACAACCACTATCAATTGAGATCAATTGAGAAAGAAACTTTCAGTAAAGAGAAAATAATGACATAATCAAGATGTTGAGTTATATATATATATATATATATATATATATAAGGAGGCTTGGTGGAGTAATGAATTGTGTCTTGAATTGAGGAATCGAAGAGCCGAGTCGGATCCATCACATTGAGTTACGTGTTAATACCCTTAGGAAAGGTATGAATCTGTCTCTTCTTTCCCTAGCTATGGGTAAATAAAGTAACAGACTGAGCTGTATAGCCTTGGGGGAGGACACTGATCTAGGAGAAAGAAAACTCTGAATTGAAACCAGTGTAGAAAATCCAGCAAGAGGGACCCGAAGACAGTTAATAACTTGGTACAGTACTATCTGGTATTATCTGGCATCCACTGCAACGGCCTGCTTTCTCTCCCCAGATGTCACACACTTGTGTGTCCTGGGATTGTAGGAATATATATATATATATATATATATATATATATATATATATATATATATATATATATATATATGGTGCGATGCAAAATTTTTTGTCCAAATTACAAAAAAATGAAAATAATACTGACATCTCATTTTAACAAATATATTTACTAAAATTACACAAAAATATCTTGAAACACTAAAGAGTAAATTTATTCAATAGAGTTGCTATTGACTTCAACCTCCAGACGACTTTGGAATCTCCTGCAACTCTTCTCTATGGTCTCCTTGTTTAAGTTGGTGAATACTGCCATAATCCTTGCCTCCAGTTCATGTATGGTGTTACAAGTTGTTTTGTTGGTCTCTCACAACTGCACCCCACACATAATAATCAAGGGAGGTACAATCTGGAGAGTTAGGTGGCCACATGTAAGGGATGATGTGATCGAAGAAACTGTCTGACAGCCATGACTGGGTTCACCCGCTTGTGTGGCATGGCGCAGCGTCCTGTTGCCAGACTTAGGGTCTTCCAACAGCCACCCTCTTGACCCAGGGCAGCACTACCTTCTCAAATCACTCGAAGTAGGCCTCTATTTTAAATCTGAGGCCCTACGAGAAGATGAATGAAAGCATAATGTCACCATCACTAGTGATCACTCCAAGCACCTTCATAATCACCATTAGACTCACCCAACTCTTTTTAAATCCTCTGCACTGTCCTCAGATTAACACACAAACACTCTGAAATGTTCATAATGGAGCTTCTGGTGCGAATGCCAAGCAGTACAGCATGCCATTTCCAAATTCCTGGCAGAGTGAACTGTGCTATTGTGCTATTTTCTCACAGACAGTACCCTGCTGACCCTCCTATACTGTGCAGTTGACAAAATCAAAAACAAACAACACATGTGCAAAATTAAAAATATAAAATGGCAGCAATTTACCCATTGCACCCTCTGTGTGTGTGTGTATATATATATATATATATATATATATAGAGAGAGAGAGAGAGAGGGAGAGAGAAAATATTGCATTATATTAATCTCCAGATCATTCCATCAAGCATGTAAAAGTTGTTTTGCAAAACTTGGAATCTCTAACATCTGAATTTGGGATTTGCCAACAAGGTATATTCAGTGTGGTACAATTCAACAATCAAAATTCTAAAATATCAGAAGCCTACCACATAATAGACACCAGCTGGTTGCATGTAAGAAAAGCAGACACACTCAATCATGGGAATGCATATCAGATAACAGTAGATCAGCATACTTGCAACAAATACAACAGTACAAGGCATTGACATAAAATCTAGTCATGTGAACCAAACAGTTTCATCAGCTTTGGCAGAACTCCTCTCTATGAATATATATATATATATATATATATATATATATATGTATAAAATTGGTAGAATTTTTACCATCTGGCATTTTTCAGCAGCATACTGAGTGCCTTGCCATGGAACATTGATAAGAAAGATAGTCTTCAAAACATTACGATTGTAGTGAATATAAATCCCCATTGGCTATCCCCTACCTATGGCCTTGCACTGACTATACTGTCATAAATCAGTGGCTAGCAAAGAAGTTTCATAGACAATTATTAGAGTTTATGATTTGATAAAGTTAATCTTCTGGATGTGAAGGTAGTATAATGGCTATTGGTTATACAGACCAATAGATACCTGAAGGAGGTTGGAGGTCACCAAAGTTGAAACACTGTGATGATCACAACAACAAAGATGAAGATATTAGTCTGAATGCAAATAATGATAATGCCATATCCCAGAAATTCAGACAGGAAGTCTTTGAAGTTGCTAAAACTGTTAATCAGACAAAAAGTGTTGTAAAGTGTAGATATGCCAAACTAAAATTTTATTTTCAATATATCTAAAAACCTTTAATAGAGAGCTTGACTAAGCAATAAAAAAAAAAATGGTACCAAATTTATCTTGGTAGCTCAAAGAGTAATGAAGCTATGATCATTGGTCAATTGCTAGAAGCCAATATTAAACAAGTGAAAAAAATCATTATAAATGTAATGTCATATAGGCAGTCTTGAAGTAAACAAAAGATAATACCAATGGAATCACTAATTAGTAGAGCCAATGTTGGTGGAAAATTGTATTCTCTAAAACAAAATAGTTAAAAAAAAAAAAAAAAACTGACAAAGGGCAATTTTTTGACTGCTCACATAAGTTTCATTTCAACGGTTAATGTATTGTAACTTCTTACTATGATTTATAGCAGAACAGAAAGAAAGCAAATTCAGTAGTACATTAATAAAGAAAAAACGAAAAAAAAAACAACTTATATTTATACCATCTGAAGTGAAATTTGAAAATAGATCAAAAGTATATCATGATTAACTTTGGACAAAACACAATAAATAAGTTTTTGAAACAGTTTTAAATAGCATCATTAAAGAAATAAACTGTGTAATATCCATCAATGAAAGAAGTTTGATTTAAAATGGGATTCAACTGACAATATTCATTCACTCAGCAATACAAATTTCAATGTGGCAGACCCAATTGTTTTGCTCAAAATAACTGCATTATACTCTCTCTTTGATTTGTATGTGTTTCGAGTTATATGAATGCAGAAATATGAAACCAACTGATTATTAAAGACAATATATTGCTCTACAAGGTGCATTTTTCATTTTTTAAGAGTTGAATTTATCTGGTATTTCATTCCCTAAACCTTCCAACTTAGAAATTTTTCGTAAAAGACAACTTCAAACATTATCTTAAGCCCAGCAAATTTATGAGTGTCTTTTTTTTTCCTTAAGAAGGGACTATTTTGATAGGTGTAGGGGCATGCAACACAAAGCTCAACCAGTTTGAAAAACACCACTACAAAATTGTCAGCTTTGAAAATGCGGAAAGAGAGGCGTCTATCGTTGAAATAGTGACATAATTTAAGGAGACATGGGATAAAAAACTAATCATCACAAAAGAGAGAGAATTGTATCTTTATAAAGTAAAGAAATATTCAATTTTGTTTGTGTGTTTATTTCATCAAACAGCCTTGAAAATAAGCATGATATCAGCTGTTGAAATTGAAGGAAATTTCAGCATTTTGATGTTTTTGCAATGTAAATTTGGGCAGATGGAATTTAAACTAGCGCAGTTTAGGATATGTATAAAGAGTGAAACAAGTTATAGTCTGAAGATTCACATGGGAGCTATTTTCCTTATTTTCTGAATTTTTTTAAGGCTTGTAAACAATGTACTGCAGTTGAGTGAATTGCACAAACAATAATGGAGGATAAACTTCAAGAACACTTCTAAAATTTCTTTAACACTGTGCAAAAGGTGATTCTGGGAACTTTTGTCTCTGGCTAATATGTGCATATATGTTTAGAACTTCTGAAAATTGAACAGGAAAAAGCTTTATCTGGATTTGTCAGTGACACAATTGGTCAAGAACTATCAAAAAAGCAAACTGGACAAGGACTAATTACAGCAGCTAATTACACCCCCTTAAGGCCAGAAGTGCCCAAATGCTTACAGTCCAAGAGAACCTGAATGTGCTCACAATTGGGTGGCACTGTATTTCAATACACACTTTTAATATCCATCACATGTTCATCAAGAGATGCTGGAAATCTACAACTTTTACAAAGCTGTAGATTTCCAAAACCATATTTCCATGTCTAGTAATACCAAGGAGGATAAAATTGATATAATTTAAAAGTGATATCAATTTTCTTTCATGTAAAATCATCTTGTAATGCTTGACTGTCAATCATCAAAAGGTTGCCTGTGTCTTTTCTATAAATACTTTCATGTAATTGTTCGGATGAACTCTTTGCTATGGTGCTTAGACTTCTTGAAATTAAGTGCAGTACTAGATTGGTGTCTAGATCCCATCAGTTTAGAGTTGAGCTTGCTAAATGTAACCATAGGTTCTATGCTAACAATTTCTTTTCTTGCACTTCTTGCTTGTGGAATTCCATGCTTTCCAGCCAACTTTCAAAAAATTAAATCCCATGTCAATCGCTATCTACTGCCGTTCTTATTCCCTCGTTCTCTTCCCGCTCATTAGTAATGTTTCTGTTCCTAATTCTTCCACGCTCTGTAACCCCTTGTGTTTAGTGGCTTTACTGCCTTGAATGGGGTGATAACATTTATAAAAAAAAAAAAAAATATATATATATATATATATATCAATTGCACTAACATCACATATTCAGATTTTTTGAGTCAGGATTCAGTCAGGACTTTGGTCAGATTTAACAATTTCTTAAGGACTGACAGGGTTAAAAACTTACCATCAAACCGAAGTTGGTCAAGGCAGTATTTTGCCCGTTTAATATGAAGAAGCATGTTGAAAATTTGGTTATATTTCTTGAGGTTTTTAGAATCCAGGACAATATCAATAGGCCAAGGAATCTGCAATAATTTATTATAAAGAGATAAGCATTGTGAATTTATTGAAATATGATTGACCATTGACATCAAAAGAAGTCATTTTGAACAGAATTATATTTTCTTTGCATTTAGAGTAAATTATATATGTCAGTAATACTAATACAGAATTATGTGCATATAGATATTTAATTTTCTACAAGGGAGAAAAATTTTTAATGAGATATCAAATAAAAAAATGAAAATAACATCAATGTAAAATGCACAGGGAAGCAAAGGTTTTAAAAAAAGCGACATATTAATATTAATCACAAAGTGTTGCGGAAACAGAAATAAACAGCTATTTTTTCATGTCCCATTATGTTTGGAAATGTTACTGAATATTTTTGCAAGTTGCAATGGGATAAAAAGTTGTTATGCCAGCAAAGAAAGAAAATTTGGCAAACTTGGACCTTCGTGCTCAAAAGAAACCAAAAACAGAGTGTCAAAAGGAAATTTATATCCTTTGACACAACTATTATATTTACTGCTCAGCAATGTTTATTGTTTTAAAATGTGATCATTAGAATTGTAATAAAACCAAAACATATGAAAGTGAATTTATACATTTTCTTTGTTCTTGAGAATTGACAACAAACCAAATATGGCTGTAAGCTTCCTGGCCGAAGGTACCACAAAGACCAGGATTTATACCTTGTTATTGTCAAGGTTATGGGAATTTATATCAACACCTATAGACGTGGTATATAGAATAAAGGTGTTTGGATCTTGCAAAATAATGCAATGGCACAATACATTCAAGTGGGACAAATGGAAACATGCAACTGTGGTTATGAAATATCCTCTCTGTTCATCTAGCACCATCTCATTTCAACCTTGTACTATTTATTTAAAAATCAGGCACTTCCAGGATAAAAATTAATAGACAGAACTTGTCCATATTATTTAACAAAACATGTTTGAGACAATTTTTGCTGCCAAAATGCACCTTTTTGGATTATTCTATTTTCATCAATAATGTACACCGGAAAGACTAAAATAAAATTTATTACTTATCAATTTATTACTAATTTTCATAAGATTTTACAACAATTTCCAAGTACTAAAAGGTTAATGAGGTAAAAGCAATATCTATAAAATCTAAAATAATAAAAAAAATCTAAAAAAAATATGAATAAATAAAATTTGAAAGATTTTAAATCAGCCAAATGTGCTTGGAAATAGTTTCAGGGGGGAAAAAAGCAGACTTCTAAATGAAAATAGCACAAATTTTTTTGTTTTGTAGCAATTAAAGATCTAAGTTCAGATAAAAAGAAAATGCTTTCTAAACTTCTAACATTTAAAACAATTCACAGGTCTACATAGAGAATAACTTTGTCAAACAAGACAGATGGATTTGCCAGGTTAATGACCTCTCTCCAATAAACCAAAAAGAAAGATTGATAGCAGACAATATTATATGAAGAAATCAGAAAGGTTGTTACTGATGTGGCTTAAGGCTAGAACTAAGAATGTAATATTAAGAAACTTTCATCTTTTTAAGGTGAGAAGACTCTTTCTTCTCACATTGTTTATCAGACAATCTAATAAATATGATGTAATTTCATTTTTTCAATGATTGAGTATTACATACACAGAACACACTATTCATGTGAGTGAGCCCACTCCTTTGACACAAATACAAGGAGAAACTTCAAATGCTGGTCTCTGCAGAGAAAAGAAAACAAACAAAGTACAACGCCGTAAATCATGGAATGCATAGTTTTCCACTTGAAATAATATTCACTGATGAAGTGATGTCCTGGTTGCAGTCACAACCCGTGGCGTTTAACAAGAAAGGGTCTCCATAAATGATGATTGGAAAAGTGTGTCAATTCTATGTTGTGAAGGATAAATCAGTGTGATAATTTATGTGCCTTTCAATTCACTGAAAATGGGTCAGGACAAATCTTTAATGAACACCTGCCACATCTTGCCCATGGCATTCAACTGACAACTTGCTAAGACGAGTTATCTTGTCTATAACAGTGAACAAGTTAATAAATCTAAATGAAGACAGTAGAATTGAAAAATGCATTCGGTTCCTTCCTTGATATTTTCATCAGGTTTTAAAGTTTGATAGTAATTTTTATTTTTTTTTTAAATATATGTGGCAACACATTTTTGTATATTGCAAATTGTCAGTAGTGAAATATGATATATATTCCAGGTAAAATCTAAATTCAAAGATTTGCATACTGATTGGCATTTCTAACTGTGATCAGAGTATCTGTACCTTTTACTAATAGTTGAATTACTGTTTTCTGGCACTTTTGGATTTGTGAAGTTTTATATATATATATATATATATATATATATATATATATATAAATAAATAAGGTGTATTTCAGTAGCAATAATTCTTTCAAATGGGTTTGATTGAATAATAACAACAAGTTTAATTAATCAAATTTTTTATTCATTTTTAAAATTTCTGAATTGGTTGTTTTATGTAATCGGTAAATTTGCCAAAGTCTATATTTATTTTTATTATACATTATTTTTTTCACCCCAGGTACTTTTGAATTTTGCTACTTTTGTTTTCAAGATTTGAGTTTTGTGTATGTTTACGTAAGTGTTTTTGGTTAATTCTGGCATTCTCATGTTTGCTGGAACCAATTTCAAGTGACACCAGGTGACGTCATTTAAACAGTCAAACTGGAATTTTTATGTTTTTTTGTATTATCAAACGCACTTCAATATATGGTCCCCTATGGAGAAAGACACCTTATTTAATGTTGGCTGCTTCTCTTTTCTGACAACAGCCTCCAGAATTTGGAGTCTTTCTTTGTATTGTGTCGTATAAAATATTTTCGTGATATCTACTAAAAATTCTTTTATGATAATATTATTTGCTTATTTGTCAGATGTCCGTTTATGTGTATGCAAATTGCAGTAAATTTTGACAAATGACAAGTCAACCTACAAGAGAGCATGATGCATGTGTGGCCAAAGTAAGAATTTTATGTTGTTTGTTAGTGTGTGTGTATATATATATATATATATATATATATATATATATACACACACACACACACAAAAAAAAAACTTTTTCCTTTCATCATTTTATCCCAATCAAGGTGATGATACCACTAAGACACAAGAGGTTATTGAGAGTGAAAGAGAACAAAAAGGTTTTAGTGAGAAGAAAGGACAATAAAAGAACATGATTCAGGAAGACAGAAGATTGCTATAGATGTTGTATTTACATTTTTGAAGAACATAGATACCAGGGAAGCAAGAAACTGGTAGAGAGTTCCACAAGCAAAAAAAGAAACTATTAGAATAGATCTATACATGTAGCTATTTCAATAACAGAAAGATGACACCTATTTGCCAATCTAGTTAATTCTAGCAGTTGCAGTACCAAGGAGGAAATATCATTAGAACGATTGCCATGAAAGTATTTAAAGAAAGGGAAGCCATGTCATGGTGGTAGGAAAGTGACTGAAATTGATATGCCAGGTCAGGAACAAAGACATTACAGAAATTGGATGGTTGTCAGCAAGAGGAATGTCCCAAAATGCAAGCTACGAATTGGAGAGGTTAAAATCAAGCAAGTGCAGAGGTTCATTGAAATAGCATAAGATGTCTTCCAAAGGCTAAACAAAGTATTATGAAACAAGAAAATTTCATTTGAAACAAAGACAAGCATGCTCAACTGTTATGCAAGTTCAAATCGTCCTATATGGCAGTAAATGCTGGACAATTTCCTCACAGATAAAGAGGAGACTTAAGGCAACAGAGATGTGGTTCTATAGAAGGATGCTGAGAATAGAATGGACAGAACATGTGAGTGATGACAAAATTTTAGAGATAATGAATACAAAAAGGACACAGTTAAGATCAAAAAGAGATAATTGGAATTTCTGGGACATAATGAAGAATCTGACCCTCACAAGACATACTGAAGGCAAGAAGGACACAGAGAAACAGCGAGTAACCTATTTAATCACCAAGGCAGAACAGGGACTGGGAGGGATATAAAAGGCAAATATCACCCAGAACTACAAATGATAGGAAGTTGTGGAGAGACATAATCGTCCATGTTATGAGGAGACATGGCGCAGAGAAGAAGGAGGGGCAAAAGAAATGAAACTAATTCCTAAGTAATAAAGTTTCTTAACATGACGTAATGTTTTATCACAGATTACAATCTTCTATCTTCTGATTCTTTTTCATGTTTAGCATATCAAAGACATAAACAGAAAATGCCATTTAGAGATTTGATACTTACTGTATATGATAATTTGATACAGTCTGTATCATTTAGTTGGAAGCTTTGAGAGCTATTGTCAAGAAGGCCTGGCACGTGCTCCACATAGACACACAATCTGTAAGAGAAGACAACACAGTGAGAGCGTCAGAAAGAAAAATGGTACAAAGTAGCCAAGCAGGTCACCGGTACCGTGGGAGACTGTAATCGATTCGTGGCAGACATGCTTGGTGGATTTTTGTTTGTTTTTTTTTTTGTTTTTTGATAGACAATACTCAAAAGGAAACTTCTTAATAAAAATAAAAATAAAATAAAAAAAATGCTGGAGTTGGGGAGGATCATGTCTCTTTTTATCTGTTAGACCCAATAACCTCTAAACAACACATGCAAATGTTACTAAAACACTGTACGCACAAAAAACATTCCTTTCAAACAGGTGGAAAATATTGACTTGAACTTAAATTACTATGCAGGTTAACAAAATTAAGACAAATACATATATATATATAATTTGAAAAAAATCTTTTTGCTTTCATCCAGTAAAACTTGTCTAAGAGGAAAACTACTGCCTAAACATTATTTACATTACAGGAATTCTTGCTGCCAAAATCAATGGCATTTCAAATAATTCTAGCTCTTCAAAAAAAAAAGAAGCCAGGATGTCACCAACAAAACTTGTTTACCATACAGACAAGATCCAGTTCTTGATAATGACCGAGACAGTACTTGGAATAAAAAAAAAATAACAGAATAAAATATAAACTTTAGACAGTTTATTTTGACTTGGATGAAAAACATCTTATTTGAAAATTGGAAAAATGCAAATAAAAATTAAACACACAGACCATGTCTGTTGAATTTAACAAAACTTGTTTAAATATATTTTGTTAAATTCGACTGACAAGTTTTGTTCATTTAATAAAAAAAATCAAATACACAAAATTAATTTTTCAGGTCAGTGTCTGAGGTGCCATACATTATTTTTTCAAATCATTTAACCCCAAGCAAGGTAATAACGCCACTAAGATGCAAGGAAGGGATTACTGAGAGTGAAAGAGAAGACTTTAGTAAGAAGAAACAACAATAAAAAAAAACAATTTAAGAAGAGAAATTCTGCATTTTATTTTTTGAAGATTGAAGCGAGAACCTGGAAGAGAGTTGCAAACGTGAGAAATGTGAAAAAAAAAAGCTATTAAAATAGAACTTATGGTTGCATTTAGCTATTTCAACAGTAAATGATGAGACCTACCTGCCAATATAGTAGTATACTTAAATTTATGAAGAAACTGCCAAAATATTAAAATAAACATTCATATATATATATATATATATATATATATATATATATATATATATATATATACACATACATAGTAATGATAGGATTAGTTGATTCCATACAGGAAACATATCTCATAGTCTGAACAGTTTGTGTGACAGCAAGTTGAAAAAAACAGTTTCACAGGGAAATAAAACCTCTTGAATCGACTATTATCATTCTTCCTTGTACTGATGGGAATTTAACTCCTAATTTTTTTAAGTTAGTGGGGAAAGTCAATATTTTGATTATATCATTATTCTATGTTCTAATTACATGTGCTATCCATTTTAGTTGTTACTGCTGTTGGAAGTTTTTAAGTGATGTTTTTGTTATTTGGCAAATCTCTTAGTAATTTTGTAGTACCAGTCAATAAGATCTGATGAAGGATTGTCTGATTTATGATTTGAAGGGTTCATTCACTTTAGGCAATTTTTCATCACTGATCTGAGAAAACAGTTGTATATATTTTAGCTGTTCCTGAATTAGGTGGATGCTAGGCATGACATCCATGTGAGAGTCTAGTATATTTGTAGTCATTAATCAAGAGAACACAACAGACGCAACATGACAAAGATGAGGATATTAGTCCAAATGTAAATATAACTTCTTATCCGAGAAAGCAATGTGATTTTTTTTCTTTAAAGGGAAGTGATGATTATTCTTAATTTATTCTTATACTATTACAGAGCAATTTTGCTTCTCGAAAATCTCACATGTTGAAGAAATCAGTTTTCGAACAGAATATTTGAGATGAAAATGCCTTGGCTATCAAACAAAATTTTGGTTCTCGAATAACATTGCCCAACTGTGGCAAACCAAGTAGTCCAAACGGAATCATTTCTTAGTCAACCGTTGTGTTGTATACATTCCTGTGTTGTGCTGTGTTTTTCTTTTTTTAATTTTATTGTGCGTTTTTTTTTCTTTTCATTAGTCCTCAGTCATATAGTCAAAGATAGCAGAAATACTGGTAAAGGAAAAAGAAAAGTAAAGAGAAAAACAATTACTGATGATATTGTCTCTTCCTACTCAGTTTCATATGGCAAAATTTAATGATCTATACTATTCTTATAAATAAAGAGATGATCATGTTTTTTCTTTCCTTTTCCAAAAAATAACATCTCTTTCCTTCCCCTTATGCTATCAACTCTCCTATATACATGTATGGTAAAATTGTTCATCTATATTTTATCTGTTTAGTATTGGGTTTATTTATTTTTCTTAGATTTAATGATTTTCATTACTTTTGTGTATAAACTTATGCACAAAGTCCTGTTGTTAAAGCTTGAATAAGCAATCATCTTGTGACCAGGAATGGATTAATCTATTTTACATTGATTCCTATTGGAAAGATAGTTTCGGCTTACAAACATTTCAGGTTATGAATAGGCTTCAGTATTTAGTAAGTTATTTATACATTGGCATAAATAATTGTATTATATTTATATTTTAAATGTAATATTTTTTATGAAAGAAAAAATATTTTTGAATTTCTAAGAAAAGTGTTGAGTCATAACATTTATTCCATTTTGATTATTTTTCACCATGGTTTTTGTGTAGGCAATTTCTCCCCTTTATTTATAATTCAAAGTATTATTAATAACAATAAAGAAATGGTCTCATATATGTTTGATGATAATTATATATATTATATTTTTATTATAAGAGATTATAATAAAAACATTTTGAAATCGCTTATAATTTCTTATAATATAAACATAATGATAATATATTGCTCTATTTTGTATTGATTACTATTGCTATACAAATGTATTGTTGGTCATTATATTATAAAAATGTAATGTTGATTTTTGTTTGGGGGTTCCCTATTTGCCCATAGTAGGGACCCTAAACAGGTGCTACCACTCCAGGTTACTGTGGACCTGGAAACAATAACAGCAGCAGAGGTGGTTCCACAATCCTCAAGACCTCCAAATCTCTCAATCAGAGATCTTGCAGCTGGATGTAGTTTATTGTCATAACCAGGACAACAGCTTGGCTAGAAGTTGGGTCCTTCCATGGAAGATGACTGAGGATTATGTAATGGGAGGTGGAGTAATGTTTTAGGCTAGTACTGTAGACAATAAAATACAATAAATTCCTTCATAAGTTGATGATGGTACAAGATAAATGCGGAGAATTATTCCAAGTTCTTGGACATCTTTCCAGTGGTACCGGTCAAAACAAAGAAGTTTTAAGCTAAAGAGTTTATTCAGCCAAGATAACACTGTTTAACATTCTATAAACCTGATTAATACCAATTTTCCTTTGTGAAGACATTGACTTGCATAATAAAATGTGAGTTCTATATGTAAGGGATATACATTTTAAAATGGGGAAAAAAATTCATAATAGGTAAAATAATATAAACATTTCCTGAAGAACAAGATCTTGTCTTTAATGCGTGTTTATTTCTTTTTTATATGAATAGCTTCTAGTATTTAAGTCTTTCTTTACAATTACTTCTGTGGTAATGGTGAGATTAGCTGTTCTCTTATAAGGAAACATTTAGCATTCATTGACTAAGCAGCTTTCAAGTGATGTGGTTTTTGTTATTTGGTAAAGTTTTTTGTGATTCTGTAGTTCCAGTCTATGAATTCTAAGGGTTCATTTGCTGAAATTTATTTATAATCATGGGTTTGGAAAAATAGTTGCAAGAAGCTGAGAGTTTGAACTTGTTTGGTGCCGTGAATGACATTCATGAGTGTCTAGACCTGACAGGGCTATTTAAGAATATGCCAAGAGTTATTAGATTAATATTTTGGATTTGTAGCCTCTTGCAGAGTTGGACAAAACTACTCCAAGCACAGCTTACTTTGCGTTCAACTTCTCCATCTCCTATACCAAATTGCTTATAACTGATCTATATATAAAAAAAATATTTTAAGTCTTTAAAGCTATTACTAATTGTCTAATAGTTTTCTTATGGTCTCATGTGATGTATTGATCAGTATGTGCACAAATAATAATAAATTTTGACAAGTGGTATATTAACCTATAAGACATAGTAGTGGTTACATGACTAATATAAGAATTTAAAGTTTTTTGATTATTAATGTTACAGATATCCATTGTAGTGTAATGAATATCAACTCAGAATAAGAAATTAAAGAGCCAAGTTTATTGCATTTACTTACATGCAAATACCCTTGGAAAAAGGTATGAATCCATCTCTTCTCCTAGCTATGGATTGAATAGCAGAACAGACTGGATTCTATAGCTTTGGTTGGCAACTAGTCTACCACAGAAAAAAAAATGAAACCTTCTGTGGGAAAATCTGCCTAGTCAGTCATGAATCAAAAGAGACAGAATTGCCCAAGTTTGTATGATGTATGGCACTTGACTGAGATGCAATCACCCAAAGACATAAGAATTCATAAACAACATGCACTTTAAATCAGCTACTATATATATATATATATGTATGTATGTGTGCTTGGTAACATTTTTGCTTTTTTTATTTTGGCATATTGAGACAATTATTCAGTATCATCAGAAATATTTTAAAAGAGCAACATTTAGATTAGCAAGATGGAATATTAATGTATATTTTGTTTGTGCTAAATAAAATTCTTTTTCTGATGCAATCAGATAATCACATAAATATGTCAAAGCAAGTATTCTCCAAACTGTTATAACTATTTACCATTTGCTTGAGTTGCATCCAATTTTTCTCTCTCTCTCTCTCGCACATATGCATATATAACATACTTTCCCAAGGGTATTTGCATATAAGTGAATATAACAAACCCAACAGGAATTAGAAATCAGCTCTATGATAAAATTTCTGAGCCAGGATCCATTACTGCACATCTAAGATAAGACCATCTGGTAATCCCAAGCTGTCACTCATCTAGTTGCAGATAAGTCTCAATGTTGCTTAACTTCAGTAATCGTATGGGAACCAGTGTTTCAATATAATGTGGCTATAAGCCATGAGTGCGATATATATATATATATATATATATATATATATATATATATATATATATATATATATATATATATATATATATATATATGTGTGTGTGTGTGTATGTGTTCATAGGCTGACTATAAAAAAGTGATGCTAAACCTGTAAAATATTGCATGCATTAATTTCAACAATCAACAGCTCAACGGACCTCTCACTGCTCAGAGAAGACTGTTCATCCTATTGGTAACAAACACACACACACATATATATATATATATATATATGTGTGTGTGTGCACACACTAGCTCAAAAGCTTCTCTATCAGGTGGCATTTAAGCTAGTTCCTGCAATGGGCTCTTGATTGGGCTTTCACTTGTCCAGGAGTTTGAGAGGCCCTAAGTCTTTCCATATTCACAGCATTGGAAGCTTTCCTGGCTGCCGTTTGACCTGGGTTTTCATTTGCACAGGATTTTCTTTTTCTCATTGCTGCCTGAGCTCTTTTGATTGCAATCTGGTCCTTTGTAAGCAGAGATTTCTTTTTGTGAGGCATACTGCTGCTGTATGCAATAGGCAACAATAAGTTACAGAAGAACTCAAAATTGATCGCTGCATTTAAGTATTGCATTAATATTTAAGCTTACCTTTTAAAAGTTCAATGATATTTCTTCTGCTGTCATTTTAATTTAAAGACAATTTGATGTATGTAGGTCCTTACTTTCTGTAAAAACTATTATTTTTATTTCATGAGTGACTTTTGCTGGATTTCGTAATTAATTTCGATTATCCTCAAAAAAAATGTAATTGTACCAACAAATCTGTCACAAAAAATCAATTAAAAAAAAAATAATTGCTGAAAACAATCACAGTAATGAAAACTTGCGAATCCAAAATTTCAGGATTGCGGTTTTGGAATGTTTTTAATTTGCTCACGGAGTCGGCCTGATTCCAAAATGGTATGTGTTGAGCTATGGCCTCTAGGAGTAAAGTTGAAAAAAAGTGACAGACTGACATTTGCATTGCATTTATTTATATAAAAGAAGATGAGATATTTAAAGGTTAGAGAGTTGTGTCCCTTTAATTCAAAGAGTGTGACACAGATATTTTCACATTTATTACATATGTGTGTGTGTGTGTGTGTGTGTATGTACATCCACATGTAGAAAGAAGCCTGTAGCCCAATGATGAAGGAAAAACATTTCTTTTAGACAAAATGTTTCTATATTAGTGTCAATGAACGCTATACAATAATTCAGTGAATAACTGTGTCGAGCTATATACTTAATGATCCACACACATGCATTACAACACATAAGATATTGAGATATCTGACTTACTTGTCTATTTCCTCAGGGAAATTTTTCTCCACTGCTTGTGTAAGGGCTTGGTTTAAAATGGTGAGATTTTTTAAAGGGTGAATGCTGAACCGTAACTGCAAGAGAAAAGATATTGCGTCAAAATCTGCCTACTTATTTTTTTTATGACTTCAACAAAATGCTCAGACATAAAACAGAATAAATGAAATAAATAATGCCAATAATGCTTCTTTTATCAAAAATTCAGACACTTATTATTTATATTAAAAATTTATTAATATCTTCAGAAATAAGTCATTTTCTATTTATTGAAATTTTATTTTAATTATGTGAAAATAAGAGAAACTACTCTGTAAGTAACCAAACTCTGACTACATTTAAAATTTAGTTTTACTTGTACTTTAAGTAATTCCTAATCAACAGAAGTCTAGTGTTAAGTGATTATTGAATTGCTTATAAGGAAAAAAAACAAAACGAAAAACTCTTTTTTAAAATAAACTGTAAAAGACAAAGAAATGATAAGATTAATAATATTGATATGAAATAACATCTTTTGTTGAAAAAAATCCATTTCTACAAATGCAAAAGTTTTTTTTCACAAAATGGAAATACCATTATTTTATGATTCTCATTAATTCAATTTATAAACTTACCAATTTCTCATTTTTATCTTTCAGTGTTACTGTGATTTTCTTCTCAGCTTTTTCAACATGCATACAAAGATCCGATTATTATATAAAGATGAGCTGGAACACTGGCACCATTTACTCATCAAGTTGAAAATTGAACTGGAAATTGCTTTACTCTTCAATTTAAAACATTTTAATGGTACAGGCTTAACAACAATCTCACTACGATGCGCCAATTTTGGTCTGTTACAAGAACAATCACAGACAGAAATTGAATTATACAATGAATTGAAGTCCTCTGACTGATTGGCGTTTGTTTACATTTGTAAAAACAATAGACTAGAATTAGCTGTTTCTCTCTGGCGAATGATGATAGCTCAGTGGTAGAAACTCTGACTGACACCAAATCAGTCGGGTTTCAATCCTGGCTTGAAGCATTTGAATGTCTAGTTGCACTGAGGAGCTGTGATACAGCAAAACAGTACCGTCTGCGAATGACATATATATATATATATATATATATATATATACACACACAAGTTTGATTAAAAAAAGAACAGACAAGGTTTCTCTGTTTAATTCTTTATTGTATTTTCAAATAAGGTGTTGTGTAATATCGTAAACATTGTGGGTAAAATGACTGAAGTTCATGTGTTCAAAACCTGAGAAGCTGTTATTACAAAAAAAAAAATAAACAGCCCACATGAAATAAAATATCATTCACTACAGGAGATGGTTTCTTGAAGTGAATATGATATTTATAATTTAAACATACTATATATATATATATATATATATATATATATACAGAGAGAGAGTGAGTGAGACACACACAAAATCACATTCTTTTTGGTGCAGCCTAACTCCCAACAACCGTTGCATATAATGTCAACACAGACTATTTCAAACTTTCTGCATTCCAACCAGGCTATGGACAAAGGAATTCTTCCTACCACACATACACCACATTGGTTCTTGAAAATTTACTAAAATCAAAATGTTAAGAAAGTGCTCTAATCACTAGTTCATCCACTGTAAATTTGCATCCAGGTTTTTACAAAGTTTCACCATTCTAGGCAGAACTTCTATTATCACAATGTGGGATATTTAATACCAAAAGTGATGGAAACAAAAAGAAAAAGAATGTAAATGAAATTGACTTTCTTATATGCCCAAAACACACATAAAAAATATTAAAATTCCCAGCGTCTCTTGTTCGTGTGTATGTATAGTCACATCAATGTAAACATAAACTTAGTCCAAAGGATGAAACACGTCACATGAAAACTTTTCCTACTTTGTCATACTTCTTTTCCCTAAAACATACATATTTTTATATATATATATATATATATATATATATATATATATATATATATATAATTTAATCACTGATTATATATAATGTCCTTGAGTTTAAAATTCTGAAATGAAAACAAATTCTTTACTAGTAGCAGTTAGAAAAGAAAAACACCATATTTATATACTGGCATCTGTCATATAATGTAAGTTTTCTTTTCGATGTCATAGAAAAACAAATGCAAATATTAATTGCATATTTACAAAAACTGCTGGAAATCCTGCTTGCCTTAAGTACCACTTATGGTGTGTTGGTCATATGCCCCAGTGACTCATCAGAGCCTACACAGTGAGACTTCTCTTTCTTGGAAATACAGAGACATTAGTTTTATATATATATATATATATATATATATATATTAATTGTGAATTTGGGCAGCAATCCCTCTTTTATGCAAATTTCATTAAAGACAACTGACAAGGTACAGCGATTAAGCTTTTCATTCAATTTTTCGTGTGTTTGTATAAATGTCTTCTTTCCTGGACATAAAGTGTGTAAAAACTGTCAAAATATTCTATATATCCGAGTACTTTCTGCTATTCTATTAGTCATTATCAAGGATTTTTTTTATTCATTTTTCACTGAATATCAACATTTTTATAAATGTATATCTATAGTAGTGGGAATGTTTTTATTTTTTTTTTATTTTCCAAACACAGTCATCACATTAACACCTATGAAGAATTATATGACACAGGAAAATTGCAGAGATACATATATCTCCGTATATCTCATATGGGCATTGTAAGCCATTTGTAAATACTTGAATACGTGAAAACTGCTAAGATGTTTGAGTGCCTCAAAATTTCAAAGAAAAAAATTTAATGAATGGCATTTCCATATATGATTCTCTGTTCAAAAGCAACAGAAATTACCCATTTTTGATAAACACCATCACAGGTGATGAAAAGTGAATTGCTTACAACAATGTGGAATGGAAAAGGTCCAAGGGAAAAAACAAAACGGGACAATGTTAACCACGCCAAAATCCAGAGCTTACGGCCACATTATGTTGAAATATTGGTTCCCATATGGTAACTGAAGTTAAGCAATGTTGAGCCTGGTCAATACCTAAATGGTGACCGCTTGGGAATACTAAGTGTTGTAAGCTTGGATGTGTGGGTGTGTAATGGATAATGGCTCGGAATTGTTAATCAGAGAACTGAGTTCAAATTATCATTGGGTTTGTTATATTCACTTATGTCCAAATACCTTTGGGAAAGGTATGAATCTGCCTCTTCTTCCCCCAGTTGTGGGTTAATTAGTTAGACTTGTATCACTAAACCAGTATTATTTACAAAAAAAATTAAAATCTAAAAATATTTTCTGGCTCCAAATAACCTACAAAGGGTTGATAAGCTATAAAAAACAAATCAATTCTCCAAAATCCTGTCTGCATCCGAAGATGATATCTATCTGGTGGTATGGAAGAACATTGTGTATTATGAGATCCTTCTACAAAATCAGACATTTAATTCAGACAATGTTGCTACTTGGTCTGATTAAAAGCAGTAATTTATGAAAAGCGTCTGGAATTGATCAGTTAGAAGAGTGTTGTCTTTCATCAGGACTATGCCAGATCTCATATTCTTTGCAGGAATGACAGAAATCGGTACAGCAAAACATGATTGGAACTCAGTGCCCCGATTAACAATTCTGAGCCATTATCTATTACACCATCTGTGCATCCAGGCTTACAACACCTGCTATTCCCAAACAGTCACCCATCTAGGTACTAATCAGGCTCGACAAAGTTTAACATGTTATTGTATGGGAACTGGTATTTCAACATAATGTGGCCATAACCCCTGCATTTTGGAGTGGTCAACATTGTTTCATTTTGTTTTTCCCCAGGATCTTTTTCATTCCACATTGTTGTAAGAAATCCACTTTTCATCACCTATGATCATACTACACTTGCTGTACTCAAGTGACCTTGTATCTTCAGATTAGCACATATGAGTTCTGAGAGGATGGAAATATGAAGCTGTTTCAAATATGGCAAAAAGCAGTTGAATTAAATACATAAATCTGACAAAACAAATGGCACATAAGTGTATTCTTAATCCCTTACTGCCTTAAAAAAAGTACATGTATGAATTCTACCATAAACAGGTAATAAGAATGTAAAGCTATTGTGGACCTTCTAGGACCTATGTTTTTTATTTATTTCATCCTAAGATGCAAGCAATTATTAAGAGTGAAAGAAAATGAAAGGACATTAGTCAGGGGAAACGACAATAAAAGAACAAGATTCAGGGAGACAGAAGATGGTGATTGATGTTGCATCATATTTTGAAGACTAAGTGTCAGAAGATCGTAGCAAAAAAAATAATAAAAAAAAAAAACGAAAGATAGTTCCACAGGTAAGAAGTGTGAGAGAACTTACATCAAACTAGTTACATATTAAAACAATGAAACCTAGCTGCCAATCTAGTACTAAATTTAAATTCATGAAGCCAAGGTACCAAAGAGTAAAGCTTAGAACTATCAGCATGAAAATATTTACAGAAAAGGCAAAGGTAAAGCCACACCATGGCTGTGGGGAAATAACTGCAGTTGAGATGCCTGGTCAGGACCAATAACATTGCAGATTCTTCTTTGGATTTTGTGAAGAGTCCAGTTTCTTCTTGTAAAAAAGAAAGCCAAAGTGTGTGTAAAATTGTTTTTTAATATTTTGCCAAAAAGGAGGAGGTAAATAGTCATAAGCAAAGCTGAAACTGCAAATTGGACATATTCAGCTCTTTGAGACAATTTACATTAAGTATATAATGTCAGCTGAAGCAGGTGTATAACAATGGTGGCACTTCAGTTTATCACTTGCTTTATGTTGGTGGTAAAAGAAACTGTCTGCATCTCAATTTGCAATATATATATATATATATATATATATATATATATATATATATATATATATTAGTCCTTCACAGACAGACTGTTTCTCTGTATCACAGCTCATCAGTGTGGCTAGACAACCAATTGCTTCAAGCGAAGATCGAAATCCAACCGATTTGGCATCAGTCAGAAATTCTACCCCCAAGCTATTGTTGCACAGTAGAGAGTAAGGGAAATTTTAACGTCTTTACTATATGAAATATGTCAGTGGCTATGTATATATGTATGTATA